AGTTTATCTCGTGCACGGTGATCAAGAGTCGATCAAGTTGGGAGAATAGTTTGCACATTTACTCGGTCTGTATTTGTTTTCACGAGTAATGATGTTCTGATATTCGGTTACATTTGCTCATTGTGTTTGTCGATTTGTTCTTCTTGTCTGTTCTCAATGCAACGTATTCTGTGTAATAGGATCAATTCCTTGCCTTTGTATGTGTTTGTGACGAATGCGACCGGTGGGGCGGGATACGCTTGCCTTTTCGCGAATACCTACTATCAGCGACATACGATAGTGGTACATAAGCACATGCTTATGATGTAGATGGAATCGTACAATGGAATCAGCTTTCTTGTGATTATGGAAACGGTTTTGTCGTGTAATATGGTGAGTGAGTATGGTTTTACGTCGCTTTTAGCAATATTCCACCAATATAACGGCGCGGACACCAGAAATGGGCTTCACACATTGTATCCATGTCGGGAATCGAACCGGGATCCGGCATGACGAGCGAACGCTTTAACCACTAGGGTTTTGCTGCTTAGATTTGTTAATGAAATGTAGGTGTTGTCTGTAGGTTGCCCCGCAACATGACCATTAGTTTGTCTTACAGTTCATCAACCTATTATTTTCCCTTCCGCCAAGCCCTTACTGTAAGACCGCCTCCGTGGTCTAGTGGTAGAACGTCCGCCCGGAGAACTGAGGGTCCGGGGTTCGATCCCCGGCCGCGTCATACCAAAAAACGTTTAAAGATGGTACTTGTTGCTACCCTGTCTGGCGCTCGGCATTTAGGGGCTAAAACAAGGACTGGTCGGCTCGGAGTCAGTATACTGTGTCTGATTGGGGTATTCGAGTTAAACTGCGGCATGGTATCTCAGTGGGCTAGCACTTTAAATCGGCATCAGTCCGGACTAGTACAAGCAGCCACACAAACACGTACATGCACGTCGCTATATAAGTGCAATAATCTTGGACGCGACCAATTTCACCACCTCACTTCCTGTAAAGCCATTGCCATAATCTAAGGAAGTTTATAGATTTTCCACAGGATCAGAAATACCCACCTCACTTGTGCTCCCTTTCAATTTTAATTTGCTTGCTTGTTCCTATATATTAAAAAAAATTCATAGACTAACACGGCTATTAATTTATCTGCATTTAATGTAATAAACACCAATCTAGATCATAAATATAGGCAAGTCTAAAATCATACGAAATGTTAATCTACTTGGTTGGATGTATAGGTTGGGTTTACTCATCCATACTCACCCCTGGGGTGATCGATTGAAAGGAGTGGCGATATTCTACACGCGCTTTTCGGAAATTACCACCCTTGCAGAACCGTGGAGGGCTTATCGGAGTATAATATTACGCCATAACATGATCTAGCATTACAAAATGTGAACATCATATGTGGGTTAATTAGCAAATAACAGCTGGGGTTTGCGACTTTCACCTTGGTTCACAACTATGACAAGAAATGGCACAGTGTTAGTTACAGAGGAACGCGAGAGGGCAAGAAATGGTACAATGGAGAGAGAGAATTTTGGTTTAGCGTCCTCTTAACAAAACTTGTGTTATATCACGGTATAGTTTTTTGTCGGAGGAAAGAAGCCAATAGCGATGCAGGTGGTTGATGGTGATGATGCTGACCTTCCAAAGATAACTATCAAGACAGAGGAAAGCAATAGGGTTCCGTTCCACAAAGCAACCATAGCGCTACTACTGGCGTAGCTACAGCAACAAAACCATTTTTTATTTATATTTAAAACTATGAGCCTGAATTTTTAAAAAGAAAAACACGTTGCAACATATAAAGTTTTCGTGGCAGGCAATTTCATTATTTACAACAGTCTAATTTTTTAAAGGAATTTTCGGACAATTCATTTTCTTCGCTAAAATACCAGCCACCTTGATTTTATTATAACGGCTATGTACAGCTAGTTTTCTGACTGATGTGCCATATGATTACTGAAACACAATGACCGGGATGGAGGAGAAAGCAGCGTTGCAACTGAATGATGACACAAATATATACATGCTTGTTTAGCTTTCGTCGCAAAACTTTACGGACCATATCGTAGCCTTAAAAGTTCCAACACACTTGAGGTGACATTAACGTGTATGGAAGCCGTGTAAAAAGATTAGGATCCCTAATAACGTACATTTAAGTTGTTAAAACCTTTTTCTTCAAACGAAAACAAATGGCAATGAGTGTCAAATATCATATCGCATTCAAACGACGTACCACAAAAAAAATCGTCAATGTTCAAGTCACTGCATATACGTCATACAAGAAGTGAGCGGGTTGAATAAGTCCCGACCCGTGAAGATCCGGGGTAGTATAGGTCTTCAGCAACCCATGCTTGCCGTAAAAGGTGACTATGCTTGTCGTAAAAGGCGAAAACGGGATCGGGTGGTCAGGCTTGCTGACTTGGTTCATGCATGTCATCGATCCCAAATTGCGTGGATCGATGCCCATGATATTAATCACTGGATTGTCTGGTCCAGACTCGATTATTTACAGACCGCCGTCATATAGCTGGAATATTGCTGAGTGCGGCGTTAAACAACAAACCAACAACAACAACGAATAAGTCCCAGGTATACCTACATGTACTGGTACAGAATGAGGATCGGGCGGGAATACATGTGACCTCGTTGACTGTGTGGTGGTTCCCTGTTCTAGAAACTAATGGTTTATAAAACCAGTTTTAGTTACTGTATATTTGATGTACGTCTGGATCCAAACGTCTATCTTGTCACAGATACATACACTGAAAGGCAAAAGAAACGTCATGTGGATGTATCATATAAATATCTTTATTTTCAAATGCTTATATATGTAAGTAAGTGTATGCTGGAGGAAGTCCCTGGTGACTCTGGCAGAGTGGGGACGGGCGTTGTCTTGCTGAAAGGTGTGGTTTTGATGACGGGCAAAACAAGGCACGATATGGGGTCTGAGGACTTGGTCAATGTAGCGGAGAGCTGTGATGCCATTACCCCTGCCTGGACCAATATTCTGAAAGACCACAGATCCAACTCTCTGGTTCAGTCCGATTCCACCCCAAACCATGATGCTTGGGCCGCCCCACGGGTCTCGTTCCATAACACAAACATCAGCTTAACGTTCGCCTCTCCTTCGCCAGACCCTGACTCTGCCATCCACCATTGAAACACAGTAGCGACTTTCATCAGTGAAGATGATTCTTCTCCATTGCTGTTGACGCCAATTTTGATTCTGCCTGGCCCATTGCAGTCGGGCCTGTCGGTGACGGTCTCTCAGGATTGGTACACGAGCAGGACGGTACCACGAGATGTTGTTGGCAGTTGGGCGACGTCGGACTGTACGATCACTGATGGCACGCTGGTGGTTGCCAATGGTTTGCCGAGCTGTTTCAGTGGCCATTCGGAATCGGTTCTGCAGATGTTGGCGTAACATGAACCGATCTTGTCGGGGAGTAGTGACTCTAGGACGACCACTACGCGGTCGGTCGTCGGTGGTGTTGTGTCGATGTTGCAAACGATATATCGTTCTGACGTTGACATTGAATGCATTTGCAACGACCTGTGCACTCTGGCCTGCTTGCAGTCTTCCGATCCCTTGGCTGATGAATCGAAATAACGAAAGCCAGCTTAACAGTTTTGGGTGTCTTTTATACCCATACCATCCACGATAAGCACGTGCATCATGTTTTTGACAAGACTTTTCCGCAACTGAGTCCCATTGCACTTTTGTAGGCTGCGTTTGGGTAAAGCACGAATTTTGTATTCCGACGGGAAATAACAGATTTTCCTAAAACAATTTTCCCCGCAACAGTGGAAATTATGCCCCAATGTGATAAAAAATCCTACAATGGCCTACTCATAAAATGTCCAGGTCAACTTGATCTGTGTTCAGCTATGTATTAAAAACTCGTTTCCGAAGAAAGCAACTCGACCTACGTCATAATTCAATTTAGAAACTGGTATCAAGTGTTTTCAACTTTAAAATGTCTCATACGTTACATAATTTTGAAAAATAGATGTTTTTCATTTTTCTATCTCTTAAATATTTATTTCGCCCGCCCGCTCGCTCTCTTGCTCGTTGAGATCTGAGATGAGAAACACCTAAAAACGTATCCAGGCCTTGCGAGCTGCATAGGTTGCTGGGGGCCTTTAACCTGCAATTCCCACGGGGGCTGTTAAGGATTGATGAGGGGGTTAAACTCGAGATGATTTTTTTTTGTGAAACGGGTTTTAACTGCAGATTCAGGTGATCTTAATTCCAGCCTTAGTGGCTCGAGTGACCATTTGATATTCTGAGAATAACCTTGTTTATTTTTTTAATAATTTGTTCCAGAAAAAAGGGATAACATTGTCCTCAGGTTTTAGCCCTCAAATTAATGTGTTCGCTGGATGTGCTCGGTGCGCTGTATCAATGTGTTGGAAAGAAATATTAATTTGTTCGGCTTCTTCAGGGATAAATTGCTGTTGTCTCCAACAAAAATTTCACTCCTCCCTTCCTTCGTATATTATATGGTGGATAGTGTTTCATCAACAATAACACCCAGTTATACTTGTCTAAAACTCGAGCAAAGTATGTTTGCTGGCACCTTAACATTGCAGATAGAGAACAAAAGTTAGTTGGACAGCCAAACCTGAAGCCTATGTTTATAAACGAACTAACTCCTTTACTTGTGGAACGAGGTGGTCAGGCTCGCTGACTTAATTCATGCATGTCATCGTATCCCAATTGCGTGGATCTATGCTCGTCAATCACTTCTGGTCCAGACTCGATTATTTACAGACCGCCGTCATACAGCTGGAATATTGCTGAGTGCGGCGTTAAACAACAAACCAACCTACCAACTAGTGGAACGAACATATAAAAAGTAATGCACTATTTAAAACGACATTAGAATTAACGTATAATATCTCAAGTGGTCGCTCAGAAGTATGATCGGATGAATGAAATATCTTCTTTATTTGGATTTTGGATTGCTGAAATGTGTAAACTTGTTGACGAAAAGAGACAATTCTAAGAATGTGTATTTTATTCCACACTTTGGGTCTGCGGATTCATAAACCATGCAAGACGAATCCGCCTTTCCAGCTTTGACATCACTCAACAACAGTAATTGGAGCATACCAACGTGAGACCTAGAGACCGTTGGTTTCCCCACTGATGTAATCAGTTGGTGGTTCTTTGGGAGTCTCGGCTAAGCTGTACTTGGTTTTCTCCACAGGGTAAATGTCCCCCAAGAGGTCTACCCGCTTCCTCCCGTACACCGACCGACACACCTCGGCCATCATATACACAAGCACGATGAAGCCAAGGTAGGAGAACCACAGCGCCCAGATAACCATCTGAGCCACGCCCAGGAACACACCCAGGGAGATATTGATGAATGCGAGGAGGAGCGAACACCGCCCGCCGAAATGGTGGATACATTCCCACACCCGTCGTCGCTGAGTCTTTGTGTCTTCGTGGTCGGAGATTTTAAGGGGACGTCTGAAATAATACATTTTTTCGGTCTTTAGGTGATTAAGGTCAGTTTGTAGCAAGATTATGTTTATGCATTTAATACCAAGCTTAATATATATCAGGTGGAACGTATTTTATTTCCAACCTCCCCCTCCCCCGCCCCCAAAAAGAAACCGTTTGGTGTCCCATGAACTTTTTCGAAGGAAAACTGAAGCATATTTATGGGAGCAAATATGCAATCTTTTTCATATATGACGGCAAAATATAAGCCTGTGTTGGAATAAAAATACGAATGAGCATTTGTATCATACGGAAATCAAAAGTCATCCCTTAAGGAAAACCTTCCAAACACAACTTCATTTTCAGATAATTAAATCAAATTGTTAGAATTCGAGGGGTTGCCACCTATAATTTTACGCACACGAGAGCATTGAGAGGCTGCAGAGCTGCCAAGATGGTAGCGACGAGACCAATGATTGCATGGGAGAACTTGAAGTGGTCGAACTGTACTGAGAGAATGCTGAACACCAGCCCCGCGATTATACAGCACAAACCAAACACCTGAAAAGTAATATGTATACTGAACAAAAACGTTAAGGATTATCAATATATTGGGGGGATATTTTGAGTGCTCAGTCTTCACTATCAAAAATATCCCCCCATATATTCATGAAAACCAACGGTTTTATTCAGGAAAGATGCAAGTAAATAGTGAAGAGCATCATCAATATCTAACCGCATCAGTATGATGACGTTGAATAGTATTTGAAACACAGTAAAATCGGAACAACCCCTTCATTCTGGATCACACTCATCTTCCCGAGGCAAGAGAGTAAACTGACTATAAAAGTCCAGTCTCAACCCTTGCCGAACTAGGCTGGTTTTATGGAGTTACATTTTGGCTGGACTAACATTTTCTGCATAGTCCAAATCGCGCAACGGAATCGAAATCCGGTTCGTAAACGGTCATGCAGATTTCGGTTAATTGCAGGATTTATAAAGCATGTGTACCGCCAACTCGTTGTCAACAGATATTTTCCACAATTTTGATTAAGGTGCACACGTGATTTTGGTGCACTTCGCGATGTAAGACACGTTTTATCACAATATAGATACTGATTATCGATGAGATCGTCTTGACTGGGCGCCGCCATTTTGTTTGAAGCAAATGCAAGTGATACGAGAGGTGGCATCTAACTGATCCATAGAAGAGGCCTAGAAGGGACATAAACTCGTAATAGCAACTGGTGGCGCTAAGTTCGAGCCCAGGAATTCCAGCCTAGTTCGGCAAGGGTACTAACGCCTGGGACCCCCTATATTTATTACCTAGAGCCCCCAAGACTCGCACATATAGAAACCAAGGTAAATATCCTGAATAGATTATATATATACGGTGGTATAACATTTTAGGAAAGTAAACTACCCATTATGTCGTCACTGAAGCATACGTAAAAGTTATTGCAAGACTCGGCTGTAAAATGTCACACTCTTATTCTCATGGCGAAATATCTTTTACATGTTGGAATTCGATGCGTCTTCATATTTTTTATAAATAGACTCCATATATACAACACATTTCACGTTACGCCAATAAGATAAAAGCACACTTTGAACAAATGGACAATGGGTTTTTCCATTCAATCAACAAAGAATAATTAGTCAAATTAAAAAATGACTGGGAAACGTGTTTTAAACAGTTAGAAAATTCAGCAATATTCAAGGGTCTTTCGCGGGAGCATGCAAAGAAGTCAGACGAGGACCAAATTAGATCAGAGGTTGCCAGCCTGTCGGAGTGGGATGCCACACAATGAGCCCGACCGCATATTGTGACCACCTGAGCCTCTTATGCGAAAAAAACATGGGTTGATGGAGACCTATTCTCGCGTATTACGAGTTGTTTTGCTTGTTGTTTAAAGCCGCCCTCACCAATATTCCATCAATTTGATGGCGGTCCTTAACAACCGAGTCTGGGTCAGACAATCCAGTGATTGACATTATGAGCATCATTCTACTCAATTGAGATACGATGCCATGTATCAACCATGTCAGCGAGCTGAACCCCGTTAGTTATTCCCATTTGACTTTAAGGGTACAGATAACCTATATGTTTACGTAAAATGTCCCGAAATCCCCACGTCATTTTGTATGGGGAGAAAGTCAAAAGTGTTGGAGGTCTTAGATGTTTTCCACTTTGGCGAAATCCATGCTCAATACTGTATGGGTAAATAAAGTAGGATAATAAGAGGATAGTAAATAAGGAAGGAAACTCGTGGCAGTGCATTGGATAAGTATGTTCCTATGAATGTGGGTTCGAATCCTAGTTTCGCAAGGATTTTTTGGTAATTAGTTTGTCCCCAAAACAAATTTCGCTGAACGCAAATATATCAATACATACTGCTTGTTTTTCAAGAGAAGTGAAACAAATATCCCTAATAATATAGTTCTGAGTTTGTATTTTGATTTTACTTCCATTATCAACTTATTATAGACACCAACCTGAAAGAAGACATGCACGTAAAACCAGAGCCCACTCTTGAATTTCATATATCTTGCAACGAACGCTCCCCACTGCAGGAACACGGCCCAGCCAATCACCATCAAGACACCATGTACGGTAATCATATTGATGAAGTTTATCGAACACGCCACTTCCGGGGAGTGGTCAGCATCGCGTGCATTTCCGCGTAGAAACCAGAGGTCGCTGAGCAGAGCGTTCCTGAAAACAAGGAATTCACCATTCAGCTTGGCACAAGACTTACAGAATGAAAAAGTGAAATGTAAAGATAACGTTTTCCTCTCCATGTATGCTGTTTATTTTCCTATTTCCACGACAAAACATACACCATGCGGAAATGACATTTCTTATAAGAAGCGGTAATTATGCTTAACGGTAATTTATGGAGCCTTAAAATTATGTAAAAAAGTGTGAATACAAAGAAATCGTTACGAACAGCAATAGAGTTTATCAAGCTGCCAACCAGACGTGCTTTTCTTTTGACTAGGTATTTTTATGAGCATATCTTTTACGTAGTGAATGGGTGCATGTTGTTTATGCCATATAAAGCAATGTTTTACCTATACCAAATATGGGTCAGGCAACCAGTTAAGCAACGATACAGTTAGCCAGGTTACACTATCTCATTAATCAGATCGTTTACTCCGATGCGATACCCTCTGTGGGAAGATCTGAGAACACATCTAAAGGAGGCCGCGTCAGTTGAACCCTTATCCACTAATCCATCTTTAAGTCATTTTGTAAATCTTACGTCTTCAACATGTGAACGTACGATTAATCAACTGAGTGAATGGGTATGATTTTACGCCGCTTTTAGCAATATTCCAACAATATCACGGCGGGGGACACCAGAAATGGGCTTCACACATTGTACCCATGTGGGGACTCGAACCGGGGTCTTCAGCGTGACAAGGACCTCAGCACTTAAAAATAAACCCATTAACCCCGAGCGAACTTTGACCAATCTAAAAGATGGATGCGTGGGTTCTTGAGCCAATCACATGTCAGCTTTCTACGCTGGTGCGGTTTCATTTCTTTTCCACCTTGATTCCGACATTTCGATGCATTGCGCTCAGACACAGCAGGATGTATGAATTATCCAGAACAATAAAATATAAAACAAACCGCAGTTATATTTTTGAGGCATTCGGAACTGGCTAATTATACTCGTTGAAGAGATCCAGCAATGTTCTGCTCACAGGTACCATGAATTTAAACGCCCTTGATTAAAAAAATCACTTGGCTGACCTCCCATGATGTGTCTTCAGATCATCAGCAAAGAAGTATGGTATCGGAGTGAAAAATCTGATTTTAATCAGATTGCCCGTGTATCAGAACTTACATCTTTATGTCTACTCCGCCAAACACGAAGATCCCAGATCTGCCTGTCACCACGCCGGTTGAAGCTCTTCTGCCCGGTGTTGAGATTATCTCGTCCTGCGGGAGACTCAGTATCAGAACACACACTGACAAATCTGTGTTTCAGCCAACAGTATGTGACACATGAAGATCGAGTTTTACAGTGCATGACTTGACAGTAGAATGTTTTTTCTTAACATAACTACGTATAAGATTTACTTTGAGGACCTGTGTGTTTGCAGTATAATGGAGAAACATATTTTACCACAGTTTAGTATTCATACTTTTATAAGTGAAATTTAAACACAAATGTTAACTCATTCAGCATAATATTCCACAATTCCTGAAGAAAATTCCAGTTCTATTATTGTTTAATTATTCACATCATAAAAGAGCACGAAATACATCACCGACAGTATTACAAATTATTACATTTTCCCTCAGTAGAGAGTGAGTATGGTTTTACGCCGCTTTTAGCAATATTCCAGCAATATCACGGCGGGGGACACCAGGAATGGACATCACACAATGTACCCACGTGGGGAATCGAACCGGGGTCTTCGGCGTGTCGAACGAACGCTTTAACCACTAGGCTACCCGACCGCCCCTTTTTTTTCTCCCAGTAAACGATTTATAGGTAACCTATACCAGGATGTGCCAAATTAAACACAAGTGACATCACTTAACACACACGTTCAGATACTTCTATACAACGCATTTAAAGGATTATGACAGTCTCTAGTGGAGGGTCATACAAAATATTACACATATTCGGGGAAGTTCACGAAGAACTGCATAGTTTATAATAAAATATAAGTCATTTTGTCTTCTCAAAGAGGGTCAGGAATAAAAAAGACCTCGTGGGGAGGATCATCCAAAACAAGACAAGCATTAGGGGAGGGTTAATATTTTCTGTACATTAGTGCATTAAAAACCTCTGACACCCCCACCCCTGTAATAAATGACCGGTCACTAATTGAATATAGTTGCACAACATCGAATTGTTGCACTGTAGAACACGGCCCCCTTAGAATGTACGTTGTTGTTGATCCTCAATTCTAATTCTGATTCTGTTTTTGTTGTTTGTTTAACCGCTCTCAGCAATATTCCAGTTATATGACGGCGGTCTGTAAATAATCGTGTCTGGACCAGACAATACATTGATGGACATCATAAGCATCGATCCACGCATTTGGGTTACGATGACATGCATCAACCAAGTCAACGAGCCTGACCACCCGATCCCGTTAGTCGCCTCTTACGACAAGCATAGTCACCTTTTACGGCAAGCATAGGTTGATTGACAACATGAGCATGGATCAACGCAATTGGGAAACGATGACAGGCATTAGCGAAATCAGCGAGCCCGAGCCCGTTCGTGGCCTTTTACGGCAAACGTGTGCTGAAGACCTATTCTACCCTGGATCTTCACCGGTCAATTCTGATTCTGATACTGCTAACATCTCTATTTGTTTCTGTGACAAAGCGCCGTCATCAACTTTAACCGTGTTACTTACGACCGCAGTGGTCTTTCTCTGAGACCATTTGCCCATCTCGGGCGAAAGAACAGCCACTACATCTTCTCCGCTAGGGTTTGTCTGTTGAAAAATATAAGATTTCAAGGTATATAGGCAATAGATCACAATAATAAATTCAATAAACTCCATTCGTTCAAATAATGCACATGGTGGCGTTCAAATAATGCACATGGTGGCGTTCACACCAAGATCATAACACCTCATCACTTCTACATTAGCAGCTCTTAGAATCATGTATGCATACTATAGAAGAAATCATTTCAATCTTGAAAACGATGAAACGCCTTTTAATGCTTGCCAACGTACGTACATTGAGAACCTGTTCTCCGTCTTCAAAACCACCGTAGAGGACAACCCTCCGTCGCCCATAGGTGGAGGGAAGCTCAGCCATGCTGGCGTAAGTCCTGCACCAACACAATCACGAACAATGCATATAGGCTCTTTCGTGTGCACACAATATATCTGCTGGTGAAAACATGACCATTGCAAATTTACATCAGTTTAAGCTTACATCCACAAAGCATGCGTGGTAAATGAAATACTGTAGAAAGAATATCTACATATGTAATAACTGAGGTGGTGAACATCATGATTCCAGCTATTTCATGGGGGCTCGCCAATAATGAGCCAAACACAATGTACCCCAGGCTGTCTTCCACACCCTAGACAAAACATTAAACAGGAGTCAGACTCAAGGATGATTTGGCAAGCCGAGATTGCCTCAGCTCTGAAATTAAGGATCGTTCTGGGCTCTATTTGGATTTTATATTTTTGTTTTGTAGATATATTCTTTTAATAAGATAACTTTATTTCTTGGACTAAATGTCAGTTTAAATGTACCGATATGGGACCCGAATCCGTTTTATGGGCGTGGAAACAACCGCTCAATCTCACCACTTCATGTACAATACTTAAGTAAGTGCAAATCTGTATATATATTAACGCAAATAGGTCACACACAATAAGATTATGGTATCATGTGGGTTTCCCCTTTAAAAACATTATTGTGTGCTGGTAAAAACAATGGCTAGCAAAGCTTAGTGTTGGGCTCTCCAATCACTCATGAGAAGTAAAAACGCATAACACATAAAAATCTAAACATTGACCTTCTATTACCATAATATTTCAATCTTATAAAGCAATTAATGGTTTCGATAAACTTACAAAACTAAAACATAATCCAAGAAACATCAGTTCGACGGAAACAAATACCATGATCATTTTGTGGTGGATTTACCCTGGCAGTCAATCTCTTAAAGGCTCCCTGACAAATGAATGCAATAGGAAGCACCAAATGAAGAAATCTTGTTTAAGCAATGCAAATCAATGTCCAGGGCGTCAATTTCTTGCATCCTGACCACCTGTTTCTCTTTATATTACCACGACATATGCAGTGTATTGATGAAGTCATCGCGGATATAAGCCTTATACGACCCGTGAAGATCCGGTTCAGAATAGGTCTTCAGCAACCAATGCTTGCTATGAGAGGCTACTATGCTTGTAGTAAGAGGCGACTAACGGGATCGGGTTGTCAGGCTCTTGAGTCCAAAATGCGTGGATCGATGCTCATGGTGTCCATCACTGTATTGTCTGGTCCAGACTCAATTATTTCCAGACCGCCGTAATAAGCAGGAATATTGCTGAGTGCGGCGTTACACAACAAACAAACAAAAAAGAGTCTTGTTGTAATACATGCATCACATTAAAGGAGCGGAAGTGTGTAATGAGGCTCACCTTGGAGTTGCGCAGTTGTCTAGTTTCCGCCATGTTTTGAGCCTGTTGTCAAAGACCCAGGAATCCCCGCTTGGACAGGGCCCTCCACTTCCGCCACCACTGTAACACATGGAACAGAACAAACAAGCAAGTGTAACTTTGGCAGCAGGGAAGCAGTATCACGAACGATGTATAACAAAAGCATGAAAAATTCTCAGATTATGCATCACAGTCATTCTTGTTGGTTTCTGACCTTTGCTCCCTGTTATCCTTTCACTCTTTCAGAAAAGTGTGGTGGGGAGGTAAAATGGGGTTTAACGTTGCGTTCGGGAGTATTGCACTTATATAATGTGTGTGTTTGTGGCTGCTTGTTCTCGGACTGATGCCGATTTTATAGTGCAAGCTGAGATACCATGCCGACGTTTAAGATGAATACCCAACTCAGACACAGTGTACTATAACTCCGAACCGACCAGTCCTTGTTTTAGCCCCTTAATACCGAGCGCATGGTAGGGTAACAACATGAAAGTCTCTTTGAACGTCTTTTGGTATGAATCCCAGACCTTCCGCTCTCCGGGGCACGCTCTACCACTAGACCACAGAGGCTGACTTTTCCAGAAAGACAGAACAATCCCATATGTATTAGGTATTGCACGATCACTTCCGGGTCCATTTTCAGAGTTCATGTTACTAAAGGTATGTGTTCTTGTGCCACTATAGCAGACCATTTGTTCATAAAGGTTTGTCCTTTTCAGCTGAATTTCATTCATTTTGTTTGCTTAACGCCACACTCGGCAATATTTCAGCTGTATGATCGCCGTTTGTGAAAAAGTCGAGTCCGGACCAGACAATCCAGTGATGGATATTATGATCCACACCGTGTGGGGACACGTGAATATCCGGGTTAGAATAGGTCTTCAGCAACCCATGCTTGTCGTAAAAGGCGACAAACGGGATAGGGTGGTCAGGCTCGCTGACTTGGTTGATGCATGTAATCTTATCCCAATTGCGTGGATTGATGCTCGTGTCATCATCACTGGATTGTCTGGTCCAGACTCGATTATTTACAACCCGCCGTCATATAGCTGTAATATTCCTGAGTGCGGCGTTAAACAACAAACAAACAAACAAACGAAACACCGTCTGGGTACGATGACACGTTATCGACAAAGTCAGCCAGCCTGACCATCCGATCCATTAATTCACATCTTACGCCCAGCACAGGTTGCAGTGGTAAAGTTCCATTAAGTAGGACATATAAACACCATTTTGGCTGGCTAAGATATCTCATGACAAATTATGATTTGCTGGTGACAGGGTTTCGAGTCTTCGACAATTGTTGATGTACTACAGAGAGTGATGGAGAGAGCATAAAGAAGCCTTACCTGAGACAGCCCCCGAATATGACCAGCTCGTCGTTGCTGATGGTGGTGCTGGCGTGGAGACATCGAGCGTGGGGGTAACGAGGGTCGTAGGGGTGACACGTTGCACAGTTCTCTGTCAAAAGTCAGTGCCATACTCAGATCAGATGCATTTGGCACAGACATTTCAAACCAGTTACAAACAGGGTATTAAGTGAATGAGTGAATATGGTTTTACGCCACTTTCTGCAATATATCCCAGCATGGACATTAGAAATGGGCTTCACACATTTACCCATGTCGGGAATCGAACCGGGTCTGCGGTGTGACAAGCTTTAACCACAAGGCCACCCAATTTTGAAGTGTCAAGATATACCCACAGTGCGTTTTTACCTAAGTATTATTCTTGCTAAAGTTCTGATACATGTGTCGAAAATCTGACAATGCGGCCGATAACATCGATACAGAAAATCGTTTTATATTGAAATATGCTTCAGGCCAAATACTTGCCAAATAAGGCCCGGGTGCAACTACCAGTGGCCCAGTGAAGATTTGATCACTTCTTTTTGTATACACTATTGTGTAACCAATATGTATGTATGTATGTATGTATGTATGTATGTATGTATGTATGTATGTATGTATGTATGTATGTATGTATGTATGTATGTATGTATGTATGTATGTATGTATGTATGTATGTATGTATGTATGTATGTATGTATGTATGTATGTATGTATGTATTTACCGATCTGAGGACATCCCATTACGGGTCACGTCAGAACGACCTTTCGCGAACTTTGACCGACCACTGAAACGAGTAACAAGAAGTCGATATCAGCCAGTGAGAAAGCAGCTTTCTCGAGCTTTACGGCACACGTTTCAAACTGGCGACTTCCATTTCAGACTATGCTTGAAAAATATGTTGACACAGTTCTCGATTAAAAATTTGAAAACTGAACAAAAGAACATTCCGGAGTGTCTAATATATGGTTGACATTGTATGGCGGTGCTTCGTTCAAATGTGTATCCCACGGAAGCGAGAGATACTTTGACGGAATCAGTCGTGCGGGCAGTAACTGTCGTTCGGAATACCCCGTTTTAACGTTTTCAAGGTTGCATGATTAGAAAACACATTCAAGCTGTCACTTTCATGATCTGGTAAGCGATGCTTTGATTGGTCGGATGAAAGGTCGTTCTGACGTGACCCTTAATGGGATGTCCTCAGATCTTTGTTTAGCGATAGCGAGAAGAGATCGGCTTATATCCTAAATGATTACGAGTACAGTGTTTGGATTAAGGATAAAAAAACATATCTCACACACAACGGAAAATTATCTTTATAATGTATAGAAACGTAAAGATCCGGGTGGGAATTGATCTTCAGCAACCCATGTTTGTCTAAAGAGGCGACTGACGACATGGTCGGGATCGGGTGGTCAGGCTCGCTGACATGGTTGCATGTCATCGTATCCCATTTGAGTACGTCGATGCTGATGGTGTCAACCACTGGTTTGTCTGGTCCAGACTCGATTATTTACAGACCGCCGTCATATAGCTGGAATATTGCTGTGAGTGGCGTTAATTAACAAACAAACAAAATAGATACTCGGGGGAAAAAAGACATTCACCGTTGTTAACTCTGATATACACTAACCTCTCTGCCAACCCAGAGCGTTGACGTCATAGGTGAAGGTATCAAAGTATCGGACGGTGGAGAATCCCTGAGACACGTACATCCTGCCACCCCCGGGGAATATCCCACCCCCGGAGCCGTACCGTGCCTCCGGACGGAAAGAGGTCAAAGACAACGTGGCCCAATTGTGGCCGCTGTACACAACGAGAAAGACATAAAAAAGAACATATACTTTGTTTCTGAATTCAGAAGCCCAAACGTCTCTTCGAATACTGATCATGGGGACACCAAAACTGAACCCTATTGTTATAATGGCTTACAGTAACGAGGGGCACATACTGGATATTAATATTCTGAACAACAAAAGTTCCTGTGACATTGAATAAGATTTAATGCAAAGTTATGTTTTTTTTACCAAATCTGAAACAATTTCGGTGTGCAACAGATAAAAGACTCCTGTAAGTGTTCAAATGGTTAAAATTTGCCGTACTGTCTTCAGAAAATGCATGATTTCATAAAAAAAACATGAACATGCCAAAATGAAATGCATGGGGCTTGCATAAAAGTCCACTTTTGCATGGAATGCAGGCTTTTCTGTTGCAGTTGCGTTTTTGTGACTTGATTCCATACATGTACTACAATATTGAAAACCAAACTTTACTTGTTTGAAAAATACACTAAACTATTGGTGTCACAGGAACTTTTGTTGTTGAGTATATGTTATTGTGAGCATTATCACGGCGGGGACCACAAAACAATCATCTTCCCGAGGGAATGATGTCCACCAGCCCATGTCACAGCCTAGTTTCGGGAACATAGATTTTGAAATAGGCTAGTTGGCTTCACACCGGGAATCGAAACCACCCCCTTCCGTTTGCCGCTCAGCACCATCCTTCAATGTTACATGTGGTAAAGGTAAACGTATGTTAATGCAATTGTGCGGATATATAATGCTCTGACTGATTATAAATGCATCAAATTATTAGTCTTTGAGTAAATGGGTGAGTTTTTATGCCATTTTCAACAGCTTGACGCAGCTAGGGTGGACAGACCCAGGAATGTAGACGTCAATAATTTAACCGCTACAACTGTATGGTAACGCATTGAGAATGCCAAAGTGCCATAAAGGTATATGGATAACATGAATTAAATTTATAACTCTCATGGTGTAAATTTATAAACAAAGGCAACTGTTGATCTTTACATATAAACAAACTGAAGTTGAATAACAAATATACAGCACTTATTTATTTTTACCTAATGTAAGACGGACGCTTCTGCGCTGGAAGTTCCTCCCATTCTTCGCGTCTGTCAACAGAGTACATGGATATATTAACTATATCCAGGAGCTGCTTTAGTGACGCAGATCGAAGAGGTTTACAAACTAAAGATCTGAACCGGGACCCACGACCAGCGGATCCTGGCTGACAACTAAGGGACAGAATTCTTAACGAAATGTGGTACCTAAGGCCACTGGACTAATGTGCCCGCACTCTTACTGGTGATAAATAACACGGTTATAAATCCGACGTGGTCAGGACTGAGTAAGTGAATGAGTGAGTAAATTAGGTAAAAAGCTATATTCAACAATATTTTAGTAACATCACGGCATGTCCGCTTAATATGGGATGAAACCCCACAATGGCACAGGTCGATAGGTATAGCAATGAAACACGAGCACGGTTGCCAAACCAAGTTTTAGGATCATAATTAGGGGCAATGTTTGATAACGATCTCAACCACGATCAACATATCCTGGCACGGCTGAGGGACGCAACTCAGTCATGGAAGGTGAAGAACAAAATAATCTAAGTAACTTTCAAGAATGGTTTAAAAAATATTTTATTTTAATAATGAAATATCCACACTGTTCATTTGACCTCATAGATGGCAACATACACCACTAGAGACTGTGCAGTAATAGATATATTTACATTAACTTACTTCATGTGAAAACGCCAGATGTCACTGTAAAACGTCTCATTTCTGCCCTCCCCGGTCGTCACATAGAAATAGTCTCCGCTGACGCCACTCACGGCTGTGTAACGCTGACCTGGTCGAACACTTACCACCACCTCACGCCATTTTCCTGATAATTGTGGAAAACATAAAACAATATCGGCATATAACGGTATTTCCGGTATTTAAGAAACAAATGCACATTAGTACAATAACATTTGTATGGAATATCTTAAATATTACATGAAAGTTTACATCACCAATTTTTGTGATTTTTTAGAATGCCAAAGAAGATCTTCTTTGCCTACGATGCAGCTGTTGTTGAGTGACAATTCCATGACAGTTTACTGGAGAAATAGACGACCAGATATTTGTATTTTGTAACAACACAGTATACTTTGCCTTCATAAAACCATTTTCCCCGTTTTCCATGTTGACCGTTAGGCCTGACTTTTCACAAAACTGTTCTAATACATTAGGTTATTGTAATCCAGTTATAGTGCTGGAAAGCATTACAATATCATCAGCAAATGGCGGTAAAAAGGCTTGCACAATATTGGGATGTAGTTGTATACCACCTTGACATTTTTCTTCCATTTCCATGGTTATTCCGTTAATAGGGAATAAAAAGAAGAAAGGGCTTAATATGCATCCTTGTCTTACTCCTATATTGCATTCACATTTCTTGATGAAGGAATTACCGTTGCATTGTACCAAAGTTTTTACGTCTTCATATATAATGACAATAATTCTGACATTATATAACTGAGGCCACGATTCTTAAGCATAAACCACAATTTATCCTGCTGTGCAGAATCGAATGCCCAACTAAACAAATAGTGTGTACAATTTACTACCTCCCTCCTTTGAAAGATATGTTGAATTAACGAATGCAAAACGAAACTATATCATCTGTAACCATCTCTGAAATCGACTTGTGATTATGCTATTTTACCATGAGAATCGGTCCGAGGCAAAAGTCTTGTATTAATGATGTGCAAGACATGTTTACTAAAAACACTAGATAATGTGATGCCCCGATAGTTATTTTTATCATTAACTGAACCCTGCTTATGAAGCGGGATAATTACACCAGCAAACCAATTTTACGGAAATGTCGAATTTTCAAATATAGAATTAAAAAATGTCTAAATATGGAGCAACAATATCGGTTCTTCAAACTTGCAATGCTTTCAATGACGTCTTCCCTTGAGACAGGGGTATATAAAATAGTTTTCAAATACCATGTAACATTTAATAAAGAGGGGATGGCCACCTCCCGAACGAACGAACTCTTTAACCACTGGGCTACCACACAGCACCCATTACAAATATAACTATAACGTCTATGTATTTCAAGCAACATGTAATTTGATAGTCACAAAGTGTTTTTTCTGTTTGTTTTTTTAAGTTCGTTCATACTTTAATTTCACTTTCTTTGATAGTTTAGTTAAAGTTATTTTTAAAGTTTCAATATATACAAACAATCTTTCTCAATAAGACGAAACATAAGTACATACATGTCATGCGTTTAAATATACTTACCCTCTGTCACGTTGAATATCCATGTATCGTCTAGTGGCCCCGGTCGACCTCCGAAAATAATGACTTGATTTGTTGCTGTGTGAAAACCAATTGCAACATCACGACGGGGAGACGGGGAGGGTGCAGTGACGCCGCTGTGGATACGTTCCCACCGTAGTTGTGGCGCAACACTCGTCAGGAGAGACACACAGAGAAGCGTCTTGATCTTCCACATTGTCGTCGCTGAAAACGTCAAGTATGAAACATCACCTCACTAGTTAGTCTTATTAAAGACGCCAAATGTCAACCGCCAAAATTCTATGTTAACATTGCGTTCTACAGACACCAAAATCGGGTATAAGATTCCAAAATTTGTTGAAACTCAATGTGTACAAAAAACAGTGTGTAAAAACTAAAGTAACGGTGACCAAGGACAGTCATCTTACCATGCACCGGCGATGCCAATAACCACAATAATAAGAGGCTCGTATCGTGAGGGTCGCGATGAGGGTACGGAATATCCAACCCCTGTCCATATCTATACTGTCCCCCTCTCCTGCGTTGCTTGCGAGCTGATTCCCGCCTTTGTCTTCACGCCCCATGCCAACTTGTTTTTAAGCCAAGGAAAGGGATTTTCTTTTTAAAACCTAGAGTCAAATAACGGGTTGTCCGCCATAAGAACATGTCTGATAATTTTCACACAAATATTTCAAAGTATTAAGCACATATCAAATTTTACATTCCCACTGAGCCAAATATAGTCCTTATCCTTCTTCCTCCTTTCATAACGATAGACACACAACGCCAGAGACGGCAGAATTCAGAGTACATCGGCATGTAAATAATTGATATTTGGAACAGGCACTCCGGTGGATAATGGCGTGAGCAGCTATCATCGATATCCGTGTGTATTTATCAGATGTGTTTATATACATGTTATGGACTTACATAACTAAATACATAGGTTAGGTTAAATAGATGTAAATATCACTGATTCCTTACGTTTAAAGGAAGCGGGTTTTTTTCTAATATTTGCAAATGAGCAAGTCTTTGAACCAAGATGATTTTCATTACTGAAGAAGAAAACTCTACACACATAATAATTATGGTTAAAAATCATGTCAGAAGTCCAAATGTTCGTGTGTTTACAGACCTCTTCCGTGGCCTCGTGGAAGAGCGTCTGCCCGGAGAGCGGAATGTCAGTGGTTCGATCCCCCGACGCGGCATAACAAAAGACGTTAAAGATGGTGCTTGATGTTTACCCTGCCCTGCGCTCGGTATTAAGTGGATAAAGCAAGGACTGATCTGGTCTGCTCTGTGTAAATATACTGTGTCTGAGTAGGGTATCCATGTTAAACTGCATTAAAACCGGCATTTATACCTGACTACAAAGTAGACACAATTTATGGATAACAACTTCTTTAAAACTGTAAATGCGACGTTTCGGTATAGGTCCTTATACCGTTGTTAAACAAGGACTTGCTGGTACAAGTAGGCGCGTGCACGCACACACGTGTGCATGCGCGCTTGCTCAAAAGGCGCAATAATCTTTAACGCGACGTTAAACCCCATTTCATCTCACCTCGAGGGTTTATATGGTGGGGTACGAAGCAGGAAGCAGTTATTATAGAGTTCAACTTTATAAGCCAATAGTATATCAGGTTCTTGACTATTCAGTTCAACTGTCGAATGTGTGGATTCAGTCAGTCATTGAAACTGATATCATTTCGGCATTGACTGAAGCATGGATCAAGTCAATGCAAAATACTCAAGATCGTTCTATATAAATACATACGCTGTTAATCTTACCTAGATCACCTTAAACACAATTCCAAAATAGTATCCGAGATTTCAAAAATCGTAGAAATGATACAGTCAGTCGTCTCTCGGTCGTCTGCTGATCAAATACTTGTCATGTGATTGCAACTTTGAAAGCTACAAACGTCCTCAGATGCACGACTTGCATTCGCTGCACGTGCTAAAAATCACGTGACGATTTGTTTGTGGATGCAGAAGCTAATCACCGTCCAGGGAACGATTTATCAACCTTGTTCGTAGAAGATCAGATCCAAACACTCACAAAGTTACTCCTGAAGAAAATACGATTTGTATTATTAACGATTGTTGTGTGTACATTGTTACCATAAGGTAGTACACATTTTTTCGGGGGGGTGGTATTTTGGTTCGAGATGAACATTTTATGTTAATGTTGGGAAGCTCAATTCCGTATACATGCATCAAAACCATGTGCTCATTTTAAAATATATATTTAATGTGACCTTATTTATTTATATATATATATATATATATATATATATATATATATATACAAAAATGAGGTAAATGTTCACTCGGTGTACATGTAATATATAATAAAATAATAAAGTCCACGTTAGTCCATCATCTTCTTTATATCAGTTTCATACATAGTACTTTCGCTGTCTCATGACAGCTCTTCAGTGTAACTGACATATACATATAATCTTACATAAATACATAAATACATGGATGTATATGTCAGTTACACTGAAGAGCTGTCATGAGACAGCGAAAGTACTATGTATGAAACTGATATAAAGAAGATGGACTAACGTGGACTTTATTATTTTATTATATATATATATATATATATATATATATATATATATATATATATATATATATATATATATAAATAAGGTCACATTATTTGTATTACTATTGATTTTATCAGAATTATCTATTTCCATACTATTGCTCGGCGAATATGAAAATTGCAACGCTCGATTCTTAAGGCCTGTGCGACACACTCGTGTAAGAAGTTTTAATGCAACATAAATGTATAACCACGATCAGACGAACAGTTACCTAAAGAAGGAGGCAGAATAGTTAATCGATTCATGTGTTCGTTTTAAATAACATTGAAGAAATGTATTTCACTTATATCCATTATGGAAATGACAAATTAGGAAAACAATCAACACAGCGTAATTTTTTAGTGGCGCAGTTAGTAAATCAAATGTACAAGTTACGCCCCCTTTAAAGGGAGGTAACTCCGTGTCTGTTTTGACTGGGCTCTTGTCTACCAAAATCAATAGAGGCGCTAATCTTGTGTCGCGTTCCAACAGTGAAACCAGTTTATTGCCGGTAGTGCGTGTTGTTTATCTTGAGTTGACGTTTTGGTTGTTTACATTTGTTCTTATGAAGTATATGTACTTTTGCACTGCCTGAGTTTTCACGATATATGATGTTGTAAAGAGGACCGAGTTGCGGATGACGACACGTAGATAGTGTTTGAGAGCTGGTAAGACATGTGGGGGGGATTCACTGAGTGGGATTCTGTTGGTATTTCTCAACATTCAGACTAGATCCAGTTTTAGTTTATTCCGAAATGCTTAATAAATGTATTAAGTTACTCAGTATCAGTATCATAAAAAGGGGCGTCAGCATTTTATTATGTCTAGTAACGGTAGATATTAACAAAATTATCCCTTATATTTAGTATTATTGCTATTATGGCGTTCTTTGCCATGTTTTCTGGACCAACGCTTCAACAGAACATTTCTTTTACCATTGTGATCGGTTGCCATATTACAACAGGAACTCAAGCACATATACAGATTTTTTTTAAAGGAGAAGTAAATTTTGTGAAGAAAAGTTGATATAGGATATTCATGGTAATGCGAGAAATGCTAGATATCAGAGACCATATAATAGATAATAATCTATTATATGGTCTCTGTAGATATACACAAGTATTGAAATAATCTGCTATTCAATTTGTGTATCGAAGTGGCATTATGTGTAAACATACTACCAAATGGGTTAGTTCAGCTGTCGTAAATGTTTTGACTTATAAATGTTTAGATTGAAGCAAAAAGGGGACAGGTATGGGGTGGGCGTGGCACCCCTTCATGTTACCCATTGCAGCTGCATATTGGTACTTCTGCCGAGCCATGCTTGCATGCCAATTGACAAGAAAGGAGTGAGTGAGTTGGATTTATACGGCTTTGAACAATATTCCAGTTATATCACAGCATGTCAACTTGATGTTGGAGGAAATCCTGAAGTGATGCAGGTCTTTGACATTTACCACCTTGGTGAAACCCATGAGCACATGTATGGGGCTGACAAGCCCAGAAACATAATCATAGTCGTTCTGCATGCCAAGAAAATAGGTCATTTGAATAGGGAATAAGTTTGGCTCTCAAGTTTAAGCTTTATAGCAAGTTGATTCAAGACGTCACATAAAAGTACCAGGCTGACTCATATCATGCATATGTCATTATCTGGCAATACAGGATAACCCTGTAGATGAGGAAAGAAAACATTGTCTCACATTTGTGCAAGTCACTAATTGCATTTAGACCATAGACATGAAATTGATTCCAGGCTGTTTCTCACTATATATAGTCCTGCACTTGGAAAATGTTTCACCATATTTTCTTTGGTAAATATTAGGGCTGTTACGATTCACTTGTGTATTCGGTGAATTGAACTGTATCCATTCATGAATTGAATTCATTATCCTTGGCCACTAGAATCAAATATTTATAAATCATGTGCATTTACATACCGTGTACATAAAAAGGTCCATAAGAACATATTATATGCATAGATTTCAAAGACAACACGGGGCGGTCGGGTAGCCTAGTGGTTAAAGCGTTCGCTCGTCACGCCGAAGACCCGGGTTCGATTCCCGACATGGGTACAATATGTGAAGCCCATTTCTGGTGTCCCCCGCCGTGAATATTGCTAAAAGCGGCGTAAAACCATACTCACTCACTCACTCACTCACTCACTCACTCACTCACTCACTCACTCACTCACTCACTCACTCACTCACTCACTCACTCACTCACTCACTCACTCACTCACTCACTCACTCACTCACTCAAAGACAACACTTTTATGATATTTAATTTAACAGTATTGTGGTCACTGGTCATTGTCTCATTTGAGCAGATACTAGTACCTGGATAAGTGCAGTATATAAATGTATAATATGTTAATAACTAACAAACCATTTCAAATAATTTATTTTCTTATTGTTTCACTGAATATAACAAATAATACACTGCTGACTTGTTATTGCATTTGTGAATTAATATTTGTATTTGTTACCCTATTTTCTTGATACAAATGGTATTCACCTCATACTGTATTTGTTGCAGCCCGAATAAATATGCAAAGGGTAAAATGCAAAAATGAACCTGGCAATTGGTATAAATGCCTTGTCCAAAATTAGCAGTACGGCGGATACAATTCTTTTGCAGATTACAAGAGGTGCACGAAATGCAATGGAACATTTAGAATTGAAGTGAACTTTATTGGAGGAGTTTGATGGTTGAAATCAGAACTATTTCCTTTTGTGCAAGATTCATAGGATAGGTCACATTATTGATGTTAGGGTCAACGGTTCTGTGTTTTTAATTATGCATGAAATAATTTCTGAGTGTGACGTCACATGATGCAATCCTCAAACCAAAACGGTAGAGCTCTGGCTTCAGAAATGCTTTTTTATTAGAGGCAAATTGAAGAATCAGCTTGTGTGTTTTTCTTACAGATGAATTACAAATACTCATTGCCACCTTGATGAGATTAGTGATTATCAAAGCCTAGATTACAATATGATGCTTTGGTAGTTTGCAGACAGGTTGACAGGTTGATGTCCTGTCCCTTTGACACCAATTCATAAGCATATTAAGCAATGCTAGGCTTGATGCTTGTACAAACCTTCCTTGTGAAGTCATGCATCATCTTGTTTTAATTTTTATTAATGTGTAACAATTGGACAGAGATGTATAAGTATGTGTAAAAACTTCCCACTTTTAGAAGAATCTAATTATGGATAAAACAATCTGTAAATACACCCTTATAGAACATTTTGGAGAAACGTTTTTAAAATAGACGTTTGCATTTTGATATTTCATTTGACAGATGCTTCTTTTATTGGTGAGGTGTTTCTATGTCAGACAATTATGTAGGTAATTGGTTTTGTGCATAAATTGCCCTGCAAACTATTCCAATGACACTGACACAGTGTTGTGGCATCAGCTGCAGCAAGACAGTATTACAGCATTATGTACACATCTGCTTATCAGTCAGTGTCAGATGAGGTAAAGTAAACTATGTTGCTGACTGTACAAATTCATTGATTCGACAGGTTTACAGCAGACATGGGTTGCTGAAGACCTATTCTACCCTGTATCTTCATGGGTCTCTGACCTGGCTGTGATAGGGGTCATTGTAACTTATGGTTTTAGGTAGTTCACTACATTTTTAGGCCATCTTCTCACATATGGGTTATTGATGTTGCATTACGGGTTGTAGTGTTTTAGATTGTCGTCCAAAGTACTCTTGATTGACAAGCTGGAGAAACTTACTGTTATTATAGTCTTTTCATTTTGATGTTTGGTAGAATAATATGAATTTTGTCAGTAAATATTGTCAGTTATGTAAACCACTTAAATGATATTCCTTACTGCTTTAATTTTGACTTGGCATCAGTTAATTTATTTCAATGGAGGTACTTCCAAATATGTTTCTATTTTGAATTGAACAGAAAAATAGCTTGCACAACAACAAACTTTAACTATAATAACTTTAAATATTAAAACAGTAATGGATAAAATGCAAAGTATAGTCTCTGATCACTTCAAACATCTGTAGAGATTTTTCGAGACACATTCAGAGGCCGATATTCGGCCCTAAGTCTGCAGTTAATGACAGTAAACCTTCCCAAATTCAATTAAACATTTCCCATTTTCTCAGAATTTATTAAAATAAAACATTAAAACAAAGGCACTTGGTGTGGAATCCTAGATAAGTCTCTGCATCTAAAAAACAATCATGAAGAGAACCCCTTTTCCTTGATAGAAGAGATGTTGTGTCCCTTGGGCATGCCAGGAACCTATGATTGTGGGTTCGAATCCCGGCTCGCCCTGATTATGTTTCTAGGTTTGTCAGCACCATACCCGTGCTCGTGGGTTCCACCAAAGTGGTAAATGACTGAGACCTGCATCACTTTGGGCTTTCCTCCCACATTAAGCTGACACGCCGCAATATAACTGGAATATTGTTAAACCAAACTCACTCATGATAGAAAAGATATTTATCATGATTTACAATGTCATAGGCAAGTTGAGAGAAGGTTTTCTAATTTTGATAGAACAAAGGAAAACCTAATATCCAATACCCAGATATGACTATCAATACCCAAACTGAATGATAAGAAGTGAGCATAAACTGAATGGCTACATTTTTTTTTATCTGGAGCCCTGTATGAAGTACAGTAAACTAGAGTTATAACAAACTCAAATGGACCCCTTATTTTAGTTTCTTATGACCACAGTTCATTTTAAACATATATGCAGCAAATGGCAGGGACCCAAAAGTAGGTTCATTATATCTGTCAGTTGGTTATAAATGAGTTCACCGTATTATGTATCGATACAATTTGCAGATTGTAATCTCATTGTATAGGTGACTCATTTCAGCCTTGTTATAGTTTTTTTAATCTTTACCATCTGACCAAAACAATAAAATGCCAAATCCTGAAAATGAAGTAAAGAACATTATTCTTTTCTTTTGATTTAGTTCATCGTACTCATGGTAATCTTTATGAATGTGTGTCTACAGCATATATCAACTGTATGACCTGTAGGGCTGACTATCAATACAGATCATAGAGGTTGATAATCATTAACTAAATATCGATTAATTATCGATAAATATCAGAGAAGTATCTTTGAGAAAATACACACAAAAAGTTCTGAAAGAAATGAAGATATTTCACTCCACTGGTGAGTGGTGTTACACTTATGCAGGGATTACTTTTTGAACATTTGGAGATATAACAAAAAAAGTTACCTTCCATCTTCAGCAATTGACGTTATTGACAATAACAAGTCTGTTTTGGTAAATCTAAACTTTATTTCATCACAATAGTTTATGTAAGATATTATCGATAACACAATTTTCATATCTCGTTTTTTCATATTTCTTCCCATCAACGATAATTCCAATTATCGATCTTTTTTTGCCAACCCTAATTACCTGTTTACTAATGGTTTACATGGTTTTAGTGGCAACATTTCCTTTCTTAGCAAGGTGAGCTCCAGTACCTCTGTATTACTTTTATGATGTACAGGTTTTTGAAAGTTTGAAACTGATAGTGTCAATAACTACACTTACAGTTGTCAGATGATGCAGATGTCTAGATGTATCTGTTAGTTATCGATTGATTGAGATGTGGTAGTGTACATACTTGTATATGTTTTAAACTGAAAACTTAGAGGATGTTCATATTGCATTGCTAAATACTGCAGAAGGTCGGTAGTTTGATCCCTGGCTGCATCACAACTTAAGAAGATAAAAGGTTGTACTTGTTGTTAACCTGCCTGGCTGAGTGCATTAAAGGGATTAAAACTGGTCGTCTTGGAGTCAATATATTGTGTCTGAGTGGGGTATTCACGTTAAACTGTGGCATGGTATTTCAGTGAGCTAACACGGCTTAAGTCCAGACTACTGCACATGGCACAAGCATTCAAACAAATGCATACATGCACGTTGCAATGTAAGTGCAAAAATCCTTTACATGAAGTTAAACCTCATTTCATTAAATCATGGCAATCGTATTTTGAGTCGTAAGCCTTTGAACTTAGAAGCCACCTTGTAAAGGCCTTGAAAAAAGAAAACATGCCTTGAACATGTCCTGTTGAAATTAAATGTTTTTGAGCAAATTCCCTTCTCAAAGAAATTACATTAAAATAAATATGCACCTTTTCCTTTTCCCTTTTATATATGATCTATATATGCTCAGTTCCTCGAACCTATTACTGTTCAAAGAACCCGTGAAGATCCAGCTTAGAATAGGTCTTCAGCAACCCATCCTTGTCCTAAGAGGCGACTTTGCTTGTCGTAATAGGCGACTAAAGGGATCGGGTGGTCAGGCTCACTGACTTGGTTGATGCATGTCATCGTATCAGAATTGGATTGATTGATGCTCACGATATCAATCACTGGATTTTCTGGTCCAGACTTGATTATTTACAGACTGCTGTCATATAGGTGGCATATTGCTGAGTGCGGTGTTAAACAACAAACTGTTCAAAGTGGCGCTATGCCAAACTTGCTCCCTCACTAACTCAGAATGTTTTGCTGGGAGCCTTGAAAGCTTTCAAAGAAATGCTGTAGAAAGCACTTTTACAAAATATAATATCCCTTATGTGTTTTTTTCTCTATCATTCAGTGTTGAAAATTCCCCATTGTTGAGCCCCACCCGTTCACCATGGTGACATACTGCCAGCAGATGGTCATGTTCTCAAGCCTCTATGTGGGCTACATGCTGTTTGTCTATGTGAGGAAGTCCTTCTCCTTCTCCACACCTGCCATCATGGAGGAAGATGTCTTAGAGAAGAGCCAGCTAGGTAAGTTCATCAATAGACCCCAGGATTCAGTAATACAATAATTCCCCAATTCAACATGATTGTCTCCCCTTGAGGATTCTTGGGATGAATCGGTCCCCAGTGACCATGCTGAGCGTACTAGTCTCCCTGCAGGAGCAGGATAGGTTCTGAACATTACATGTTATCTCCCCATTGGGAATCTTGCGCAGAGTACACTTCGTCTCCCCTGAGAATTGCAGGGACAGGATAAATCCCCACTGACTCTATGCTTTTGGATTTCAAGGCAGAATAGATCCCCTATACCCCATGCTTTTCTCCCAGTGGGGATTCTGGGGTACAATAAGTCCATAGTGACCCTTTCTTATGTCCTCATTGGGATTTCAGGGCTTGTATGTCTCTAATGGCTCCCCTGTGGGAACAACAGAATGGATCCCCAGTATTCCATGCTTGGCTTCCAATGGGAATTCTGGGGAGAGTAGGTCCTGAATAACCCATGCTTGTCTCACTGTTGGGACTTCATGGTAGAAGTACCATGTGGTTGTCTCACTGTGGGGACTTCACAAGAAAAGTACCCCATGCTTGTCTCACTGTGGGGACTTCAGGGCAGAAGTATCCCATGCTTGTCTCACTGTTGGGACTTCACGGGAGAAGTACTACATGCTTGTCTCACTGAAGTACCCCATGCTTGTCTCACTGTGGGGACTTCACAAGAGAAGTACCCCATGCTTGTCTCACTGTTGGAATTTCATGGGAGAAGTCACCCATGCTTGTCTCACTGAAGGCAGAAGTACCCCATACAACTAGGTGGATTGTTGATCATGTTATCAAGCACTGGTTTGCATGGCTTATCCCTTCTTAAACAAGTATTTTTTGGAGTTGGAACATGAATCCGAATGTATCCGTTTGCCATTTTGATAATCTAATAACTGAGGTATTTGTCCAGGTTTGATAGTGAGCAGTCAGATGTTCGGCTACATGGTGAGCAAGTTCATCAGCGGCATCATGGTCGACTTCTACAGCCCCACCTTCCTGTTTGCTGCGGGACTGTTCTTCACCGGACTCACTGCCGTCATATTTACAGGTGAGTACTTGCTGCAGTAGTCACACCAAAACACAGCTCATTCCTCACAACTTCTGGGATTTTTTCTCAGTAGACATTGAAGCAGAAAAAGAAATTATTCCTAAATCCCTAAAATCTAGACAGTCTTGATATTCAAAGAACAAAAAACAAACCCAGAATTTTTACAGATTACCGGCATCTAAACTATTGATCAGTCTGTTCCAAAACCTTTGAGTATACTTGCCTAAACTTGGTTTTCGGCACAATTTGCAGCAGATTTAGTGTTATTATATGGACAATCATGAGCGGAGCTAACTAGGTCTAACAGAATGGTACTAGACTCAATCTTTGGACTTGTAGCTAAAGTGACAGATTGTCATCACGTTGTTCTCACAGCAGGATTGAACTGACTGATTGACTGGCTTGACTGATTTCTCATGGCCTAATACTACTGCATGTTTCAAGTATTTACTACAATTTTTCAAATATGTATTGTGTAGGATTTGTACAGGCTTGAAAAGGCCTTACATTTAAAGGTCCCTTTTCAAAAGCCTTGATTTTTAGTGTCAACCTTGAAAAGCTTTGAAAATCACCAAAATAGCTTGAAGAACCTGAATTAGTACAAAATTACATATGCTTGTTTTTGAAAGTAGTAATATTTATTGCTTAATTTATTTTATTTGTTGGTTGTGAAAATATATCTTGTTGGAAAAGTTGTGATGTTCATGCTGCTTCTTAGGTCTTACAGGGCGGTCGGGTAGCCTAGTGGTTAAAGCGTTCGCTCGTCATGCCGAAGACCCGGGTTCGATTCCCGACATGGGCACAATGTGGGAAGCCCATTTCTGGTGTCCCCCGCCGTGCTATTGCTGGAATATTGCTAAAAGCGGCGTAAAACCTTACTCACTCACTCACTCTTAGGTCTTACGACTGATATCTGGTATGCTGGATTTAAAGAAGTAAGACTAATAACCCAAATAAAAAAGCCTTGAAAGGGACAGTTGAAAGTCTTGAAAATGCCTTGAATTTAAGTGTCTCATGTTTGTATGAACCTTGTTGTCATTATTGTGTATTGCAGTGTTCAACTCATGGATGATGTTCACAGTCATCTGGTTCCTCAATGGTATAGTACAGGGGACAGGCTGGCCGGCCTGTGCTGTGCTCATTAAACGGGTAGGCTATATTCAGGTGTCGACTGGCAATGGGCAGAAGAATTTGAGATATTGTCAAAGACCCATTGCTTTCTATTATATTTAAGTTTTTCAAACCTCTTTATCTTTGATATATTTGTAATTGAAATTGATGCATTGTTAAGTGTATTTTTAGAGAGTTTGTTTTTTATTTGGTGTTCTCTAATGGAGCTTGTGAAGGCATTAGATGTTATAAGAACTAAAGGCTAGTAGGACGGTTTTGTAGCTTTGCACTAGCAAAAGTAGTAAGAACAGAGCAGTACATTGCCATGGTTTCAGAGCTACTGTACAGTCAAGGCCTGAACTACATGTCTGACATTTGAATAAACAGTAAAACATTGTTCAAAAATGTTTTAAAATACTGTGGATATTTATTTTTTTTCTAAAATAACATATACCAATAACTTTAATGAAAATGGAAAACATCAATAGGGAGAAATAAATTATGCCATAGATGTCTTTTAAATTAAAATAATTATTACTGAGCATGGAAGATGAAGAGACTGATTCCTGTTAGAACGGACATTGTTACTATTGCAGTGGTTCTCTCCGGATCAGTTTGGCACGTGGTGGAGCATACTGTCTACGTCAATGAACACTGCTGGCACCGTGGGTCCACTGGTGTCAGCAGCCCTTGTTACCTCGCACGGCTGGAGGATAGGAATCATTGCATCAGGTGGGCAGATGGAATCATTGTATCAGGTGGGCAGATAGAATCATTGCATCAGGTGGGCAGATGGAATCATTACATCAGGTGGGCATATAGAATCATTGCCTCAGGTGGGCGGATAGAATCATTGCATCAGGTTGGCAGATGGAATTATTACATCAGGTGGGCATATAGAATCCTTGCATCAGGTTGGCAGATGGAATCATTGCCTCAGGTGCATGGATAGAATCATTGTATCAGGTGGGCGGATAGAATAATTGCATCAGGTGGGCAGATAGAATAATTGCATCAGGTGGGCAGATGGAATCATTGCATCGGATGGGCAGATAGAATCATTGCATCAGGTGGGCAGATAGAATCATTGCATCAGGTGGGCGGATAGAATCATTGCATCGGATGGGCAGATTGATTCATTGCATTAGGTGGGCAGATTGAATCATTGCATCAGGTGGGCAGATCGAAACATTGCATCAGGTGGGCGGATGGAATCATTACATCAGGTGGGTGGATGGAATCATTACATCAGGTGGGCATATAGAATCCTTGCATCAGGTGGGCAGATGGAATCCTTGCATCAGGAGGGCAGAATCATTGTATCAGGTGGGCAGAAGGAATCCTTACATCAGGTGGGCGGATAGAATAATTGCATCAGGTGGGCAGATAGAATCATTGCATCAGGTGGGCAGATAGAATCATTGCACCGGGGAGGCAGAAAGAATAAATGTATCAGGTGGGCAGATAGAATCATTGCACCAGGGAGGCAGATAGAATAAATGCATCAGGGGGGCAGATAGAATCATTGCATCGCATGCTGGCTATGTATTTGCCCTATTGTATGTTGCAGGGTTGCAGGTTTGATGGCGATGTGTTTTCCCCATTGCGTCTTTCATGTTGCAGGTTTGATGGCGATGTGTTTTTCTGGGGTGTGTCTGCTGCTGCTGCAGGACTATCCCCCGGGCAGTGAACCAAGTGCTAGACCCGATGCTCCCAAACTCAAAGATTTCTGTAAGTAACTTTATAGGATAGGCATACATATGCAAACAATTTCACTTGTGCAACATTTAGACATGTCAGCATATGAACTGGCTCATGTTTGGATTTGTAGGGACCAAATTAAGGACGTTAAGGTCATGAGGGCAAGTGAACTGTTTTTGTTGGAAAGTAAATTTGCACTTGTCCTGGATCAATTCAGATCCTTCTGATCCCTATTTCTAACCCATGATCTTTGTCACAATGCATAAATTATTTTCCTTCATGATGGATTTATTTTTCAATTGAATTATTACTTAAGTAGTGCAATGTCAAATTAAAAAAAGGTGGATATTGCCAAATATATACTTTGTACTTTTATGAACTGAAAAAAAGCCATGCCCACTTGCGGACTACTGTTTCCTGATCAGCTCATAATAGAATGGGCAGGGCTTCTGTTTCATTATTGCCCTGAATGGTGTCACTGATTTGACATCGTTGTCATGGTGTATTCTCGGTAAGGAAACTCAGCTCTCTAATGTATGAATGTCAGTACAGGCCGGTCTGCCAATTTGTTTGGATAATTACAAGACAGTTAATGATGAACATATAGACCCAGAAACTGTGCTCCATATATATATATATATATATATATATATAGATATATAGATAGATATATATCTATCTATATATATATCTCTCTCTATATATATATATATATATATATATATGTATGCATGATGTTCATGTAGAGATATGCTTCTTGTAATTGCCAGCATTAGCGCAGCAGAAGTCTCGTCTGCCGGTGTTGTTCCGCTGTCCGTTGTATGTGATGGTCTGCATCAACTACTGGATTGTCTCCTTCATACGTGGCGGATGTAACGACTGGGGCCAGCTCTATCTCATAGAGGAGAAGGGGCAACCATCATTTATTGGTATAGTTTACATGAACATAATTTTAGGATTGGTTGGTTGGTTTGTTGTTTAACGCCGCACTCAGCAATATTCCAGCTATATGACGGCGGTCTGTAAATAATCGAGTCTGGACCAGACAATCCAGTGATTAATATCATGAGCATCGATCCACGCAATTGGTATCAATGACATGCATCAACGAAGTTAGCGAGCCTGACCACCTGATCCAATTAGTCGCCTTTTACGACAAGCATAGTCACCTTTTACGGCAAGCATGGGTTGCTGAAGATCTATTCTACCCTGGAATCTTCACGGGTCTGGTGACACACATGAATCAAGGCTTAAACCAAAGATGACTCGAATGTTGATGCCTTGTCTTGAAAATGAGACATTTCATTGAAAAGACAATAGCAATCAATGGTTAAGTTCCATAACAATTAATGTTTAAGGCAATAACATTCAATGCTTAAGGCCAAAACAATCTATGGTTAAGACCATGGATTTAACAATTATAAGTTATTTTCCTGTAAATGAAATGAAAATTACATCTATGTCAGAATAAGTACACAAACATAAATAAATAGGCAAACTCTATTTTTGGTGCAGATGCCACATTCAATATAAACGATTGCTAGGCTTCAAATAAATTTATGAAACTCAAACTTATATCATGCTTTGATGAGAGAAGATGCCATCATGTGATGAAATATTTCAAGTGACTTTAGTTATCAACACTACATACAGTAAAATCCCAGGGATCATCAATACCATGTCAAATTATCCTTTGTTTGAGAGAAGTGGATTCCTTTCTTGGACATGCACATGTTCTCCCATTGATGTAAAGTTAGTCATCAACAGCAACAGTTTCACAAGGTTTCACTGAAGAACATATAGGGTGTTTTCATTGTCTTACAGGAAGTGCTTTCACAAGCAGCCAGGAAGTTGGTGGAATTGTGGGATCTGTACTGGCAGGCTACATATCGGATTATTTGGTTTATAAGGTTAGTATGAGATACCATGTTGGATTGTGAGATGTGAGGCGAGGAGAGATTGGGTTTAACATCTTGTTCAGGATGATAGCAGCAAACTGACTAAGCCGACCAGGCCTTGTTTTATCCATATCGGGTAACAACAAATACCAGGGAGGCCAGGGATCAAACCACCAACTTTCCACTCTCCGGGCAGACACAATTGTATTCCAAACCTTCTCAGACTTCTTGTAGGTGTCATAGACAACTACTTTGTTTCAGTGCTTGAGTGAATTTACTCAGACTGATGCTACTGTTTGTTACAGAAAGGATGGCAGGTGAATCCACGTCTCAAGGTGGTGTTGTGGTTTACCTGGATGACAGCTGTGTGTATCTACCTGTTGCTGTACTACGTTCAGGCGGACTCGCCTAAAGTAAGTCAAGTGACAGAGTAGTAGTACCTGTACTAGGCTCAATAGAACCTACCTAAAGTAAGTCTAGTTGTCAGGGTAGTGGTACATGTGGTATGTTTAGGACTAACCTTAAGTAAGTCTAGTTATCAGGGTAGTGGTACATGTGGTATGTTCAGGACTTACCTAAAGTAAGTCAAGTTGTCAGGGTAGTGGTACATGTGGTATGTTCAGGACTTACCTAAAGTAAGTCAAGTTGTCAGGGTAGTAGTACATGTACTGTGTTCAGGGGGACACACCTAAAGTAAGTCAAGTTGTCAGGGTAGTAGTACATGTACTGTGTTCAGGGGGACACACCTAAGGTAAGTCAAGTTGTCAGGGTAGTAGTACATGTACTGTGTTCAGGGGGACACACCTAAGGTAAGTCAAGTTTTCAGGGTAGTGGTACATGTGGTATGTTCAGGACTTACCTAAAGTAAGTCTAGTTGTCAGGGTAGTGGTACATGTACTGTGTTCAGGGGGACACACCTAAGGTAAGTCAAGTTGTCAGGGTAGTAGTACATGTACTGTGTTCAGGGGGACACACCTAAGGTAAGTCAAGTTTTCAGGGTAGTGGTACATGTGGTATGTTCAGGACTTACCTAAAGTAAGTCTAGTTGTCAGGGTAGTGGTACATGTACTGTGTTCAGGGGGACACACCTAAGGTAAGTCAAGTTGTCAGGGTAGTGGTACATGTGGTATGTTCAGGACTTACCTAAAGTAAGTCTAGTTGTCAGGGTAGTGGTACATGTGGTATGTTTAGGACTAACCTTAAGTAAGTCTAGTTATCAGGGTAGTGGTACATGTGGTATGTTCAGGACTTACCTAAAGTAAGTCAAGTTGTCAGAGTAGTAGTACATGTACTGTGTTCAGGAGGACTCACCGAAAGTAAGTCTAGTTGTCATTTCTGAAGACACTGTTATCTTCAGTAGGTTAATAACACTCGACCTTCACATAAGAGGCTGTCTTCAAGATTTTTCATAAATATACAGATAGAAAAAAATAAGCAAGCACATAATTCATGAAGCCTTGGGTATGGGAACATCCCAACTATCAACAGTGTAAACATACCACTGCACTCAGTGTGACTAAACACAGCAATGAAACATGCACATGGAAATCATGTATCAAAGATGTGGTGCAGGTAAACATAGGGACAAGGCATGTGTGCGTTGTCAAACGTCATTGTGGTATCATGACTGGCAAACAGGGGACATTGTGATGAGACGTGGTTGTGGACCGAAGCCCAAAACAACCATTGCCAAAGAAGGCTCATCACTTTACAGGATTGCTTTAAATCCTCTTCACAAGTTACCCTGTGTTTAGAGCATAATATTTAGCAAACGTATGGTCTGTAATTGCCTCGAATTGGCTGGCCTCAAAAGTCGTTTTCCTGTGGCAGAAATCAGAATGACCAATGTTTACAATTCAAGTGGGTATGGTGGTATGGCATCCGATGGTGTGGAGCGGGATCACGTTTGACATCAAGACTGGCCTCATTTGCCTTGATAGCAGGGTCGTTTGCACCCAGGGCGGGGCAATTGTTTGAATTTCAACAGGACAACATCCATCCTCACAGTGCTAAGGTCTCCATGGATATGCTGCTGTCCTGGCCTGCCAGATGTTCCGACTTGAGCCCCATTGCACATCTTTGGGATGTTCTTAATCATCATGTCAAAGAACGTTATTAGCTCTTCAGGAATCTCATACAGAGCAATATACATGCCCAGGCAGTTGTCCAGAGTCTTGGGGGTCACACACGTTACTAACGTTCAGTATTGTGACACCTCGTTATTGTTGTGGTCAATGTATTTCTCCTTGGTGGTAAACTGAGTTTTTCTTCGAATTCATGAGCTCCCTTAATTCTTTCCTTCCATGTAGACTCCATGTAATAAGACATTTCATGTTAAATCAAAGGTAATAACACTCTTTGAACAAATTGACAGTGCATGTATTTCCTATTCAATTACCCATATGTCCAAAATTATCACCAAAAATTCTAGCCACTTCAGTCGGCTAGAGAATATATACATCCTAGATCTATCCCTGCATCTATCATGGCAGTCTGTAAGTAAGGGATCTCAGACTTGGTCTTGGTGGAAGTAGTAAGACTTGAGGTGGATAGGTTAAAAATCAGACCAAGGGTCCCCTGAGGTCTTTCTACTCTCACCAAGACTGAATTTGAGGTTGTGAACCGACTTACAAAACTCTTTTTAGTTGCATTAATCAAATATGTTGTACCTGTACCCCTGCTTAAAATTGGCTCGTTTAACCACCATAAATATGATAGCATGTGCAGCAACCGATGGGCGACATTCGATGAAACAAACCATGTGTTCAGTGAACCGTTACTTCATCACTTGCCCCGGTGACTCATTGGGAAACACTTGATTTCAATACTTAACATGATACAAGTGTGTTTGGCACAGATGGACGTATCCTTTAAGAGATATTGTATGAATGAATTGCTGAGTCGAATTGTTTGATAGGCATTACTTAGAAATTGATCGATGACAAAGTGGAGATAAGCCTTGCTTGACAACGGTATAAGGATCTATACCGAAACATCACCTTTACAGTAAATAATGAAGTTGTTTTCCCTAAATTATCTCTAAGTTGAATTGCTGAATTGTTTATTTTGCTGAAATTGCTTTGCAGTTTTGGGTGAGTGCCCTAGGGTTTGGTATTGGCTTTGGACTGTATGGTGCCACAGCCATGTTTGGAGTCACATCCATGGAAACAGCTCCATCTCGCATGGAGGGAACAGCTCATTCTATTGCAGCCCTTGCTTCTAACCGTGAGTAACTCTCTTTCAGCCTTCAAAATTCACACCAGTCTGATAGCCCAAAACTACTGAATTGTGCTGAGGGCAAGTAAAAATCCAGTGCTGTTTGTCCCAATTGACTAGTTGTATATGAGTTCTCAATGCTTTAATTTTGCTACAACATTTTTGCCTTGTTCAAGAAGGACTAGCTACAACTCTGAGGTATATTAAAATAAACTTTAAACTAGTCTTTATACTCGTCCTCTAAACTAGTCTTTAAAAAATGAATTTCTAAGGCTGCTGTTTGTATTTGAGGATTCACAAACTGTACAAATAATTAATCTGGAAAGGTAGAAATAGTCATTAAGTTGTTTATTGCCGGAGACACTTGTGCTTCTGATCAGCATTTTGTTGCACTTTTTTATTCAAAAATAGAGTCTAACAGCGAATAATAAGTTCAATACGTTGTTGACTTATAAGGTCTGATCAATCAAAAATGTGTTTTCCAAGTTATGAATAACTTTAATGATACAGCTATGAAGTGCCCATTGTGAGGGGCCTTTAGTGTGACATGGCTGATAGTAGTCAACATACCCAAAAGTTGCTTGCCTGGTGCAGTCTTGTTCATGAAGCTTTTTGCTGCATTTGAATTCTGTTTTAGTAGACACAGTTATGTTTCACCTGTGGCTCATTTGTGTAAGACACTGCAGTTAGCTGTACAGAGTTGCTTCTCTTTGGTCGGCCTGGCTCCTGCTTATAATCCTTTGTTTGTCAGCACAATACCCGTGCTCATAGTGGTAAACGTCCAAGACATGCATCACTTTTGGCTTACTCCCACACAAAGCTGATACAACAACAATAATGTTAATCCCAGCTGATTCACTCATTCATTTGACCGCCTCTGAGTAGGTCGGGGGATCAATCCCTGACAATGTCATATCAAAAGATGTTAAAAGATGGTACTTGTTGTTATCCTGCCTGGTGCTCAGCATTAAGGGAATAAAACAAGGACTGGTTCGGCGCCGAGTTAGTATACTGTGTCTGAGTGGGGTATTCATGTTAAAACTGCAGCATAGTATCTCAGTGGGCTATAAAACCAGAATCAGTCCGGGTATTACAAGCAGCCACACATGCATGCATGTTGCTGTATAAGTGTAATAATATTGAACGAGACATTACCTCAATTCACTTCACCTCTCCATTGTTTCTGTTGCAGTGGGTATTGTAGCATCAGGCCTTCCTCTTAGTCTGATTGCAAGGTTCTACAACTGGCATGCATCGTTCATCGTCCTTGGTTATCTATCCATGGGGTCAGCGTTGCTTGCCTACTTCAGTCAGTGGCCATTCAGTCCGCCATCAGAACAGGAAGAAGTTGATAATGCCGAGGAGAAGAAAACAAACTGAAGTGATGTCATCGTTGTTTTATTACACATCTCAGTCAGAATATCATTCAGCATATTTTACATTCAGATGTTAATTATCCAGATAAATGAATAGTGAATGTGTTTACATCTAAACAGAAACAGTTCTTGAATCGGATTGAAAAGACAAGATGAGGAGTTTAGTAATCAAGTTATTTTCAAATAAAAGCTAAAACAAATATTGATCCTAGTTAGGCTCCAATCTCATCATTGTTTTGACATGCTCATTGAGACAAACACAATATTTACCATAACTTCAGCTTGAAATTCTATATATTCAATGAAATCGTGATTCTCTGGATTCCTGATGATGTCTGTCATCCATTGCAAAAAACTTCACTATGGAATCATTGTTTTGTGTGTGAGACCTTGTCAGCTACCCAAGCTCATTATCAGTTTACAGTATTAAAGCAGTGTTTTAAATTCAGATATTTTCAAGCCAGACTGGAGGACTGGCAAGAATTCATAATAAAAGTTGCCAGTCCAGACTTTTTTGGTAACTGTGACAATGTTCCATACATTCCATGTTGCCATACCAAAGTCAATCTCATTAAAATCAGATCTTAGTTCTCGCTTCCGCTAAACAAAGATCTGAGGGCATCCCATTATGGGTCACGTCAGAACGACCTTTCATCCGACCAATCAAAGCGTCGCTTACCAGATCATGAAAGTGACAGTCGGATTGTGTTTTCTAATCCTCGAAAATGTTAACACGGGGTATTCCGAATGATATTTATGGCCTGTACGACTGATTCCATTAAAATTATCATCTTTCTCTCGCTTCCGTGGGATAAACATTTGAATGGAGGAGGCGTTTCACAGTACGTGGGAAGCACTGCCATACAATCTCAACCATATATTAGATATTCCGGAATTCCGTTTGTTCACTTTCCAAAATTTTAATAGAGAACTGTGTCAACATATCTTTTAAGCGTAGTCTGAAATGGAAGGCGCCAGGTTGAAACAAATGCTGTAAAAGCTCAAGAAAGCTGCTTTCTAATTGGCTAATGTTGACTTCTTTTTAATCATTTCAGTGGTCGGCCAAAGTTTGCAAGAGGTCGTTCTGACGTGACCCATAATGGGACATCCCAAGATCTTTGTTTCACGGCAGTGAGAACTTAGATCTGATTTTAATGAGATTGTACCAAAGTTTAAGAGAAAGTTTTTCTCCATGGATGTTTTGATTTGATGCAGAATACAAATTGAACCATTCAGCAATGAATTTTGTAACCCAAGTTGATGACACTGTCAGTTATAGTCAGTTGATCATGCATCATTCATCTACATGAAATAATTATTGGCAGTTTTCTGCGATCCATTAATATTGCATCATTATCTATATACCTCTCGCGATGTAAGTTCACACCTGTATTTTTTTAACTAAGTTTACAACAAAAAATGAGCCTGAATATCTGACATGCATGTTTATGTTCTCGACTATATTGAAATCTGGAGCAAAGCATTTCGTTTTTTGCATTTTATATCCCATTTCAAGATGTCCAATATATGATTGCTTTATTAATAATATTAATGATATAAATGATAAATAAGAATGACATATTTGTAATGTTTCACACCCATCAATGAGCATCAATAAGCTTGGGTTTACTTACTAACGGTCTCACTGTAACTTTAGAGCTGTTATGTTGATCTCTCAGCCTAAAAATTCATACGAATGGAGCCACAACTGGTTTCATTCATATAGGAAAGGATGTGAAGAAAAGAGAAAAGCGGACAAACAACAGATGGTAACTTGAGGGAAGTACGGGTTAGCAAGGAGTGAATGTTATGCAGAAGATATATAGTGCAGAGATATAGATTAATATCTGAAGGATCTTTTATATAATCATCTTCATTGATCTAGTCATTTTACAGCGTTATTACCAATCAAATCTCTTTTAGGACCTCTGATAGCCTTGTCATACATGTCCTTAAGTTTTTTTACCTTAAGTCCTTGCATCTTGAACTTAATTGTCTTCATACATGATGTCGTTAAATCGTCAAGTCTTCATGTGGTATATGTCCTTAAACCTTATTCAGTCCTTATTATATTATCCTTAAGTCTTTATATATGTAATGTTAACGTCCTTAAGTCTGTATCATCATGTAAGAAATCCCCCTCCCCCATGTCCTTAAACCTCATAAAGTCCTTATTATTTGTGCTTAAGTCTAGATATGTCCCTTTCTCCTTAGACTGTATTGTCTTCATTTATTTCATTACTCACTAATGTGATGTTATGTTAATACTTTTTTATTTCTGACGGCTGTCTGAAGAACTTCCCTATTCAACAATGTTAGGCCTGAAAGTTATTTTCAAAATGACGAGGTCAGCAATTTTTTTCTGTTGGCAGAAGTCCCATCATAAACGGGGACAGAAGTTCATTAAGGCAAGGAAAGATAACTCTTTTAGAACTTATTTTAAAACCTGAAATTACTTATTTAACTGAATTTCTTTTCACAAGGCAAGTTTTCAATGACCCACACAATGATGAACCATATGTTTAAACTTTTCACAGCCTTTGGTATGCAAACCCATATGCTTTCATGTAATATGGAGAGGCAGATGTTATGTTTCCTGATGTGTGTACATTCATCATGTGTATTGGCGTCAAGTTTAGGATGTCTGAAGGAAAATGATCTTTGGAGGGACGAGGTTGTTTACACCTTGGTAAGAATGAACCTTTAGGATGTTAAATCTCCAGGGAAAGGAATCTAGCTTTGTCCATAGGTCTCTGAATAACAAGGACTCTTTCATGTATAAGACAAGATTCTCTCAAACTCTGTCTTAAACTCAGATAGTTCTGTTATCTTTATTTTTGTACACATTTCAAGACTACCTCTAGCCCCGTAATCAGGCCAAGAACAGCATTGAAACACTGTGTCTAAAAAAGAAATATTGAAATCTACAATTGTTTATCTTTATGGTTTGAATAACTGCTAAAACTAATCGTGCTTAAGCTTATGCTAAGTAATTTCCCATGTGTCTGAACAGATTGCATAAAACCTATATTTGTAAATTTTTGTTGAGTACTAGTCCAGTAGAAATGATGATTCACAAAGCAATTGTATTTTCTTCAATAAATGTTCTCCCAATCCTTTCAGTATAATTTTAGAGGACAAGTAAAATGTCAGAATAAGTGAATTTCTAAGTCCCCCATGTACTCGTCCTCTGCCAAGTAGACATGTGGGATCTGTTACACCCCCACTGCCCTTGTTAAGAACCCAACCCATAACACTTTACACCAATGTCTTGATCTATAGGTTAAGATGGTAGTTCTCATCAGAAAATTCAGTCTCTCTTTCTTATTTCCATATCATCATGGGGCACTGATGGCGAAGTTGTCCAAGGTGCCGCAGTTCACTGTGCAGAGATATGTGCCAGAAACCTGGGAACGTGGCTTCAAATCCTGTTTGCCCAGATTATATTTCTAGGTTTGTCGGCACCATACTGTCTGAGACCTGCATCTTTTCAAGCTTGCCTCCCACATCAAGCTGACATGCCATGATATAACTGAAATACTGTTAAAAAAGGCACTCACTCACTTACTCATGTGTATATCCTACTGATTTGGGGAAACTCGTTTCAGAATATATTACTCCCACACTTTGGCTCTGCAAAAAGAAAATGATTAAAAAGCAGCAGTATGACACACACTCATGCAACTATTAATGTATAACCATGATCAAGACGATTAGTTTCACAAAGACGGTGGCAAAATATTTCATAGATCCATTTGTTCATTTTAAATAGCATTGAATATGTATTACACTTATATCCATTAGTGCATTAACTTGTTAGCATCAATGGAACAATGTATATTTAAAGGACAAAATGTCACCATTCCAGCTGAAAAGGCTGATGGTGATCTCTGATTCTATCCCTGCATGTGGTATAGAGGGTTGGCATGTTGTGATGAAGCTATAGGGCACCTGTTATGCACATGTTTTTGTATGTGTGCACACCTGTTTCATCATCAGATTAACATTCATCACCTGAGTCTCAAAAGTTCAAAATCAAAATACTTTTCAAATGATATAATGATACAAAGGAGCATTGGAAAAGAAGGAACAAGGCCTTGTCTTTTTTACTGAAATATTCTTTTTTGAAATGCTGTTTTCCCATTGAAGCAAAATGTTCAATAATTTTCTTTTGTTCAAAATATTTATGAGGTCGTGTTAAACAAAATAAAAATGATTATTTTGTCAGGTTGTGTTTACAGTTATTCTAACTGAAAATGTGTTGATTATTATTATAAGCTTGGGTGTTGGATGAATGACTTACTTTTCGCTGAATCAGCAATTTTGAATATTTTCATGCTGACTTTGATTGATCACTGATAATTATGACTACTTTTTATATGTCTTCATGTTATCAATATTGGTGCATTTATTTATGTCCACCTTCTGTTTCTTTGTCCAATTTTGTTTTAGATTTTGAAATGAAGTACATACAAGAGTGAATCATGTGTTATACCTATAGTACATTTTCAGGGGGTAAACATTTGTTAAGTACTTGTAGTAGGATAATATTAATCATCATGTTTGGACAGACATTGTGTTTGTAAAGGTTTCGTTGTTTTGTCAAATGATCCTTTTCTATCTGATTGGATTTACATCACATGCTCTCATGCCTGGTTTTTATTTTTGTTTATATTGTTTGCTTCTGTTATTAATGGCCTATGTTGATGTTTTCAATATCATTCTTATCACTCGATTGCTCAAAAGGAATCTTTTCTCTTTTGTTGATTTGTTGTGTACAGAATGATTTACTGTTGAAAAGATAGGATTTATTGAAAAAATAAAGTCACAACTCGATCAAAGATAACGTTTCCTGAATACTAATCATGTGTTAGTTTGTATTTATTCTTTTTGAGAAAAGAGAGAAATTGAAAGATGCACATGTGTATAGATGTTGTGAATTACATACATACATCTGTCATCTGTATTTTGTGTATCTCCCCTCAGCTGTAGATTTGTAATAGTTCTGTATGCTACGAGTCATTATTATTAGTCATGTATGTTTTTGTTCTTTCTCTCATGATGTGTATACACTGATACTGATGAATTTATTCATCATATTGTTGGAAGTTCACCAATGAACATGTAGTTCCTCTTTGTTCAACAAAATAGGGGGATATTGTTCTTAGTGAGAATAGTTTTAAACAGATAGTTAATGCAGTATTCAGCAGTACTTTACAGCCATAAGTCAAGATGGTATCATGTTTAATGTTGACACTGGCTGGTCAGGTAAACACAGAGTGACATGGCTCTTGTTGTTAAGTTGTCATCCATCCTCTGTCATTCAGGGCAATACATCCACTTCTTCAGCCATATATCCTGGAGGGCTCACAGTTGACCGTAAAAATACTGTTCAAATCAGTTGGCTATGAAACATTCATAGTATTGGAGGAGAGAAGTGGATACATTGCCCTGACCATTAGGATGGATGGCTCTCTTCTAGATTTTAGATAAAACAGTGATGTTACCATGGTTACTGGGTTGGGTTGTGGGTTGGATGTAGCTTGTATGTGAATATGTGTGATTTACACAATATGGTGCTGTGTTTAAAAATATTTATTGATCATGCTCATCCATTTGATCAGATATTTATCACTTATAAAGGGCTGTACTGTTCTCACTATTTGCTCTGAAGCTTTTTTGGATA